GTCAGGGTCATCACGGCTGGCAGATGCTCGACCTTGCTCAATACAACAGTGAAGCGTGTCATGAGAGAGATAGGGCTAGTCCCATCTGCAGCAGCTGAGCGGCGGCGGCCCTTGATTGCAGGATCTTCGCTGGAAACCTTGTTTGGTTTGGTATGTTGGCGGACTCGCTCGGGGTAAAAGCTGTGTTCAATTAAGTTGATGGGTGGAACCAGTGGAGCTGATGGTGACTTACGCAACAGTAAGAGGCGATGTAATGAAGGTCAAAATGACGGCCATCATGACGAACATCGAAAACGACTTGGTGTCGAGAATACCCGCAGACAAACCGATGTTAAGCACAATAAGCTCGACAAGACTGGAAGAGACTGAATACATGCTAGCATACGACACCTGGAATAACTCACCCTTTGCAACTCATCAGCATTCCAATGGCGCCAGCTTCGCGAGTGTTGAAGCCCATGAAGCGCGCGGTGCCCGCACAGCCAACAAATTTACCAATGAAGGCAACCGCAATGATCAAGAAAGTGTAACCCCAGGCGGTACCATCATTCAGAAGGCCTAGATCAGTCTTGAGACCCGAAAGCGTAAAGTACTGCGAAAGATCTCGAGGTCAAAACCAAGTGAATGCTAGATTGTACCTAGCTTACCAAAGGCAGGAATAAGATAGAAACCAGGTCTTCAATTTTTTCTAGAAGGGCAATAGAGAACCCGTTGTCCCTCGGAATGACCAGGCCGGCAATAAAGGCTCCAAATATGGCATGCACGCCGATCACATCGGTGAAGAAAGCGCTCGCGAACAGCAACAACATCGTGACAGTCATCATGAATGGAGTGGGTGTGCCATTCTCAAGGCTTCCGGTGTACCTGGCGAGCCAGTGGTATCCCCATTTGACGGGGAGCAGGATAAAGATGACCCATCCGACACAAGTAAGCAAAATCCAGAGTGCCGTAAGCCCTTGGCTGGCGTTGACGAGGGCGACGGTCAAGGCCAACAGGATCCAACCTAAATTGAGATAAGTACCAAGCTCACATAGCTGGCGTTCGGTACTTACCAACAACGTCATTGCCCACGCCCGCAGACAGGGTGGTGACACCGACGTGTGTATCTAAAAAAGTAATCAATTGAAAGTAGACGAGATCGACCAAAGATACTCACCCAAGAGTTTCAACTCGGTCAGAATACGGCACAGTACGGGAAACGCGGTGATCGAAATAGCAACACCAACGAACAGCAGGAAATTGCCGAATGATACCTTGGCGGTGTCGATGAACTCATGATAAATAGGGACCGCAACCGCAACTCCCAGACCAAATGGGAGAATCATGCCCGCTGCTGAAATGGCCAGGGAGGCCTTGGCATTTCGCCTGATGACCGAGATATCGAGTTCCATAGCTGGTAGCGAGTGAGTTGCGGCCATCTTTGGCGGTGGGAACACTTACCAATAACGAACATGAACAGACAGAGACCAATCGTCGCTACCAAGCTTAGATATGGGAGCGACTCTGGGGGGAATACTGATTTGGAGAAGTCTGCGAAATCATGAGCTGCGGAGTTGGGAGCCCGGGGCCGAAGCGCACATACTGGGGATGCGGCCAAAGGCGGTCGGGCCAAGAAGAATGCCACCAATAACTTCAGCAATAACACGCGGTTGTTTGATCTTTGCGAATAAAAGGGCGAGTGCCTGGGTCATGCAGACGATAAGTACTGAGAAGGTGCTCATGTTCAGCACGAATGAACTCGGAAACACGACTACTTTACTCACTAAGTTGAATAACCCATATCCTTATCGGATTTGCAGAGTCAAAATGCGCTGGGTTTTCTCCAGACAAGATACCACCCTGTGAACAGTCAGTACGTTCATTCAGTCTCGCACGATGGGAGCGCAGTCCGCTTACCTGCTCTCGTGCGGCTCGTTTCACTAGGCCGTCCCCAAGGCCCAAAATCGTGTCGGAAAATTCACCCATAATGTGTCGTGGAGGGGTGGCGGACGGGTAAGGGAGGGAAAGGTTCCAAGACCTTTATAATATGCATCATAATGGGTGGAAATAAACAACTGCAAACGCATCAGCATCATCCCCGGTTCAGGAACAAGGTGCGTGACCACGCATCTCATGAGCGATTAGGGCTTCTGAAGGCACAAGCCCCTATTAGTCCTTGCCCCTATACCGGAATGACAGCTCCGGCCTTGGCAACCGATCCTTACCTTTTCGCTCTCGCTGTTCTGCCCGAGGTCGCTCAATAATGCTGAGCGCAAAAGGATTGTACTGCGCTTTTACTGCTCCCACATCCAGTTAGGTCTGTGCAAATCTGACCCTTTAGACCTGATCATTCCTTGGCCACTAGATCCCAAGGGCTCCACTCGATCGATTGGCTTGCCACCGTCTTGTCAGACGTAATAACTGAGTAGGACAAACTAAAGTGTCTTCTTTGATATTAAGCTAGAACTACAATGATGCAAAAGCGGGGAGTCCATTGGAAAAGCATGATCTAGTAACGCACAGTTGGTTACGAGTCCGAGCTGCAACCGCGGCAACCTTGGGTGGCAAGTATGAGCCGGGTTTCATCCAGTATAATAATAATGCTTACCACAGTGTACGCATTGGACAACGGTTCCCTCCTTCACCTGGGCCTTTGGTACACGGCAGATACAAGTTGATCCTTGATAGTTCATGTCCTAGAAATTGAATATGTCAATAAAGCACTCCACGAGGATGTGACAGTGGGCGCCTTACACGTGTTTGAATACAACGGACACAACACAATTTCTCGTACCCCGTTTTCTTCCACTTGGCAATTAGGCTAGAATAAATTTATTAGCCATTACTCTTTGACGACAATGATAATATGTCAACTCACTTGGCGTCCGCGTAGCCCTCCTTCAACAACCAGTCATACAACTCCTTGCTGATGGCTTCACGCTTGTAGTAGAGCTCATAAATATAGCGAGACCTTGTATGGGAGATGCGCATAATAGGCCACAGCGACTCGGACTTGCGCTTGCCTTCGTGTGACTCGTTCTCCGCATCTCTCATTTTCTTTGCGTACTCATCGAGAATCTAAACAAGTGGCGCTCAGCACACCTGCCAATATTTTCTGGAACTTACTCACCGACTCGATCTCCTCGAATCCCTCAGGGGGCTTTTTCGTGCGGGTTGTGCGAATTTTCGGCATCGTGTGGTGGCTGCTGTGGTCGTCAGCAGCAAGCGTGTTGGTAGCCGACTAAGCGCCAAGCTGTGTTCGATACCGCACAGGCAATTTCCCGGAATGAAACCGCATGTCCGGCTAATATGCCAAGGCCGCCTGGTGTAGTTGGTTATCACGCATCCTTCACAAGGGCAGCTAATCCTGCGGTAGACGGATGAGGTCTTGAGTTCGAACCTCAAGGTGGTCAACCTTTTTGCTCGTCCCAGGTACCATCCCCGAGTGTGCTTTACGAGCAAGCAGTTCATCCGAGACACCTTGTTTCGACCACCACCGTCGATATCTCTCCACCACCTCCCAAGTTCGACTACGCCCACAATGTCCATGTCATCCTCAGGCAAGCACACTTGCCAAAGGCTACAGCGTATCGCTGATTCCAATATCGCCAGGTTCCTCCACGATTCACCCCTTGAACCCTTACTCTCAAGGCTACCGCTCATCCAAACACTCATCTTCCTCCCAACCTGGACGACGCGTCTCCCAAACATCTTCTAACAGCAGCAAACGCCAACGGACAACACCCCCCGTTCGCCGAACGACTCCACCCTCGACCCCGCGTTACGTGCCACCATCAGCACCTCCAACGCCTTTGCCTGCACCTGACGAAAAGAAGCGCAGCCCCGTTTCACCTGCTGTTCTGAGGTCCATCTTTGCCTCAGCGAGGACTGCAAATGAAGAACGCAGCATTTCACGGATTGCTTTCTTTAGGTGAGTTATTTCGAGTTTAGTGCACCGATGGGGACAGTATATTCAATTTGTTTTTAATATAGATTTGTCGGGTTTATTCTCAGCTGCCTGGGTATTAGTGTATACGCCGCACGCGGCAGAGGTATCAGGGCAGCAACCGGCTTAGGTCTCTCAATGCTCTGAGTACGGAACCAATTTCACATGTACAATAATACCCCATTCATATTTCACTGGATTTTCAAAACTATTTTACACTATGATCCAGACTCAGAAAACCAAGCAAAAAGGTCTCAATTTTAATAAGACATAGAGCCCTCGATGATTCTAGCTAAGTGCTCTGCGCCATCTGATCCTGTCACATCACCTAGAGTGCATTTAGCATTGTCAATCGCGTTGGTTAATCGAAAATGCCTCACCGATTCCAGGGGCAAGGTCCAAAACGCGACGCTGAGGGATTGTGCCTTGGACAAGCATATCAATATCGCTGTTCTTGTATCCGACTGCTTTCAAACCCCGCGGCACGCCTAGGTTATCCAGGAAGCGAGCGATTTGCTCGAACAAGAAATCGCCAACAGCGTCATCTGGTAAACAAATTAAGATTTTGGGGTTAGCGAGTATTCAGTGTGCGTACCAGAAAGTCTTGAGATCGCAGGGTCGTGGACGTTGGTGCCTGCGAAGATCGCAGCCGCCTCACGATGCCTTTCGGGTGAAGATGGAGAAGTGAAGCGGAAGACTGCCGAGATCTTGTTAGATAACGTTCTACGATTTATATCTTTGCATACCTGCTGGACCTGTCAAAGCGACACTTAAAATAGTATATTCAGTAAAGAGTATAAGAATATAATCGAGTGTATAGTACCTGACGCCATGAGGGATGATAGGCTTGTCTACCAAATACCCGGGATGCTGCCACTTGGGGCCAGTTTTATTGAATCCAGAAATCTAGAACCCCTTCAGTACAAGTGTCAAGTCTCAGACACTTCACACACCGGATAACTGATTCCATGGCACAGGTGAACTCCCGCATTGCCAAATCCAATACCAGCAAACGAGGATGCAAGTCTGATTAACAGACAAGTCAGTCAGAAATCACTTTCGACAGGAGTAAACTCGGACGCACAGCATCTGACGCTTGGCCTCCTTATCATCCCTGTTCTTCGCCACGCGTGGAAGGTATTTGATGGCCTGACGCAACGCCCACGTCGAGAACACATCGCTAACATCATTTGAACCTTGGTATGCGGGCCTCAGGAGCGGGTTTGCGGGGCGAGGTGTACGCTCCGTGTAAGGAATCGCTGTATAACTCTCTAAAGCATGGAAGAGCTGGAGGCTGGGCTTCAGTCTTGGTGCATTTAAACGACGGGATTCGAGCACTTACCACGTCCAACCCGGAGCTAATGTGGACGGCAGTGGGGCAACTGTCGGTGTTCAAGGTATCGACTATCCCAAGCACCGGCTTGAGGGCGCGGTTGGCAATGCCTGTCTTGAACCTCTTGGACGGAATGTCCAGAATGGCAGTGCCGGTTGTTTCGGATCCGGTTCCAGCAGTCGTTGGGACTAAGATAAACCATAAGTACGACTAAACAGGAGTGGATAAATGCGCATTATTTACCTGCAATAAGTGGGCGCAACTTCTCGGAGATGGGCATCCCTTTGCCTACGGGAGCGTTGATAAAGTCGAACAGGTCCGCATTCTTGTAGACGGTAAACCTTGCAAATGATTTTAGAGGCACAAATTAATGAAGATTGTTCCAAGCACTCACAGATTGGCCGCCTTGGCTGTATCGATCACACTCCCTCCTCCAACCCTACCCTCGATAATCAGTCATCATTGTCTGCATGACCCAATTGAGACTTACGCGAGGAAATGTGAAAAGTCGTGCTTCCTTGACCAAGCAATCGCGTCATTCCAACTGGCATCAGTCGGTTCAACGGCAACGCGCTCAAAGACCTCATAGTTTACCCCGTGTTGGTCGAGGGACTCGACGGCCTAAGGTCCGTGAGTAAACGTGCCCTGATAAGTCACATGAACCGCTTACCATTTTCATGGGAAGGAGCTTTGCAAGATTGGAATCGGTAAATACGCCGACCTACCAACCAGCAATTCAGTGGGGATATCATACGACAGTTGAATCTAACGTGCCTTGGTAGCACCCAAGTTCTTGAGGTCCATCCCGACCTAATTTACGTAGTATGAGCAAAAAGCGCGCTAAATCGCGTTATAATCTGACCTCTTTCGTGACCCCTTCACCAAAACGTAAATTGGCCGCCGCGACCTGAGAACCTCACATTAGCCCAACTCTTGCCGCAAGATCCCGTCCCATACCTCGAACGCATATTCCTTTTCGACGGGAACGTCGATCGGCGTCGCGTACTTGCGCATACCAGAGAGCAAGCTTCCAGGCGGGTGGTGGTGTGCAGCGTTCGCACCATGGCACGGGCACATTGTATGACGGCTCAGGTTGAGCAAGTTGTTGATAGCAGCGCGACTGGCTCTCG